CCCGTCGTGAATGGAGCTTTAGATTTTGAGATGTGATGGGCCAGAAGGTGAGATGTTTTAACAAATATTCTGTTTTTGGTCAGGTTAATTTGTATAATTTAAATCTTGCTGGTCATTTAATCTTTCTTTTAGAATAGTACTTAGGTTTATCTGTTTGCATATTTTTTGGTGCCCAATACACTTGCAAATGTGCAAATACTGTAGCTACTGTTCCAAACCTATCAAGCGCACAATTAATATCTTCAGTGGATCTGTGTCTGTGGAAATCGTATATCGGTTATATACAGTATCCAAACCTCTCTTTGAGTGCATCAGTCAGTTCCAGGCTTCTTATACAGTTGGGTCCATAAATATTTGGACAGAGACGCAATTTTCTCTGTTTTAGTTCTGTCGGCCACCAAGACTGTTTTGAAAAGAAACAGTCAAGATGTGCTGGAAGTGCAGACTTTCAACTTCAATTTGAGATTTAAAAAAATATATTGTCATTTATGAATTAAACTATTTAATTCACAGCCCCCTCAGTTTTAGGGTCTCTAGAGTAATTTGTCAAAATGAAATAATAATTAAAATGTCATTTTTGCTCCTGGATAAGCGAAGCTTAGGAAGGAGTGTTGTGATAAGACTCAAGCGTCACTCACGAATCAATCAATCAATCAATCAATCAATCAATCAGTCAATTTGCCATTAGCACGACCAAGGGCGGTAAGATAAATATGATCTTTGCACAGATGACCAGTCCCTAATTCACAAGCAACTTATCCAGGAGTTAACAATAGTGTCTCTTTGATTAATACTTGGTGGCAAACGCTTAGCTGTCAATGACTGTCTGAAGTCTCGGACCCATAGATGTTACCAGACTCTGGGTTGCCTCCCGAGTGACGGTCTGCCCAGCCATCACTGCAGCTGTCTTCAGCTCCTGCCTTGTAGTTTGGGGCATTTTGCCTTTAGCAAGTGAAATGCTTGCTCAATTGGATTCAGGTCATATGATTGACTCGTCTATGGTGGTTTTTGCAGTATGCTCCCAAGTCACCATCCATCTGCACTATAAAGCATTTTATAATTTATTCTGATGCATTTTGCTGACTCTAAGTGTATGTTATGGACGTATATGATTTTGTAATTTATGTTCCAGCTTTTGTCAACAGTCTCCTCACCAGCAGATACTAGGGAACCAGCCCAGTTTGCAGCCATACATGTTCATACATAACCACTGAGCAATTCCTTCCCTTCTCCAGATCCTTCTTTTCCTGTCTTTCAGGTAGAAGTTGATCTTTGTCTGGCTTGTCTATGGGATGTTGCTCTGGAACTATAAAGCGATTTTTTGCTTTTTTTTTTTTTTGGAAATATACTGTTTTTTGAGCCTTACCAATTGTTTTCATATTAAAATCAACCCTCTGTACTTACTCTGGTAAAGTCTTCTCTTGATTGTTGACTTTGGCACTGATAAAACTACCTCTTGGAGAATGTTCTTGATCTGGCCAACTATTATGAAGGAGTTTTACTGTACCAGGGCAAGAGTTCTTCTGTTATCCACAACAGTTGTTTTATGTGGTCTCCTTGGCCTATTTGTATTCCTGAACTCAGCAGTGCTTTCTTGCTTTAGAAGAATACAGTATACTAAAAGTTCAACTGGCAGCACATAATGGTTCCTGTTTTTCTCTGGTGGGTTTTTAAATGATTATTCTAGCCTAATAATTGCTTGCTTTACTGGCGCTGGCCGCTCCTCGGATTTCATATGGAGAGCGAACAAAAACAAATTCCAAATGAAAATTTAACTCTTGAAATCAATGGTAGACCTTTTGTGTGCATACTTTTAAATAAATTTTTAGGTAATAAAACACATCTGGCCACAGAACAGCTGCGTGCCCAAATACGAAGGTAGGACCTCTGAATAAAATTCTGTTATTCCGACTCCAATTTCTGATTACCTTCAAACTGAAGCAGAATGTCCTCATCTCACTTTGAACTTGCAGGTATTACTTTATTTCAGCTCCATTACTCTTTGATCAACAGCTAAAATAATAGTAAAGTTGTAAATGTCCAACTGTTCATGGATGTAACTATATGTGACCACTGATAAGGCAATGATTTGATCTGCCTTGACCTTTTGGTTTTTAGCCTTTCTCTTCATTTGAAAGCAATTTTGGAACCATTGTACTAACCTGCCTCTGAAAAGTCCTTCACTGGTTCAGTGCATGCTGGGAAGGCTGTTCCACCTCAGATTAGATGTTTCTGTAGTTGTTAGTAGGTTACCCGGATCACGTGAGCACCTTCTCTGTTTAACATATCTCCCAATTTTTTTGATGACTACCATAGTCATAAAGGGAACTTCTTATTTATTCATCTGATTTGAGGATCACCTCTACAACTGGATTATTGTACTGAGATCACTAGAGACACAAATATGCCAGTATAGTCAGAGACAGTACAGTGAAGAAACAAACAACATTAGGCATTTTTAAATGAAAAGTCCGCATCACTAGAGATGGCAGTTTAATGGCATATCCTGCCCATTTCCCGTAAAAGCCAATTGTCTGCTTTATTTAGCTGAACTGGGAAAAGATATCTAGTCCATCGTGTTGTTGAATTGATGCAAGCACACTGCTGAGATTCATCACAGTTTTAACCCTTATGGTTTCAACCGATTTGGTGGTTTTCCATCCAAGTGATCTGGTGGGATGAACTCATTGAGTTCAGTTTAGTAGGATGAGCTGACGGTGTCACGTCACAGCACACTGATAAGGAAGTTGGCATCGCGAAACCATGCGCATGCATTGTGGAAGTTTAAACTGTGGGGGAAAATGCTTCTCAAATCTTATTTTTGGGGTAAGTCATCAAACTTTTTAAGAGATCGATCGGGTGATTCTGTGCATGAAATTTTCATTTCCCTGTGACCATTGAAAGTGAAGTCATGGCTATATCCCCATTCATTAAGATTGGGCTGGTCTTGTTAGCCCAAAATATCTGCTTGGGGGCATTGCCAAGATGGCCCTGAGTGGCACGACTTGCCTATAAAGACTTTGGGATAGCTACCTTTCAGTCTGCACTTGTGCGAAGTTGTATTTTTATTCACATTGCATACAATGCCTCCTACCTAACAGATACCAGTGGTTGGTAAATGTGTGCAAGCAAGTTAGCTAGCTAGCCAGCGCACTAGTTTTTAGTGAAGTTGGCTACTGAAGTTATACCAATGTGAGCCTTGCGATTAACTGCTATCCTTACCCAAGGAACCTTTTGTAAACCTGCTGCTTTTTAGCCGTAAACATAATGACCTCCTCTATTGACTCTCATGACTGCTTTCTTGATATGATACACTGGGGCAGAGTTTGGATGGGGACTAGGAAGGGTGGCTGATTGATATCCTACTTCAAAAACTGACTTGAAACTCAAAAACATAAAATTCTTGTGGTCGGGTCTTGGCAGTGGCCTTGAGAGTGGTCTGTGAGGGGAATTCCCTTTGTCAGCAAGCTGCTGGGCTGTAATGACTTTACCAGCATCAGCAAGTACCCTGATGTCTACATTCTCAAGAAATCATGATTAATCAAGTCTAGCATAAACTCAGTCTAAATGTGCTTAATTGGGTTTTGTAATGATCACTTGTTAGTAAATTAAAATATTAGAATCAAGTTCCAAATCGCTTTTTTAAAGCTTATCTCTGTTTTTTGATGAGAGAATGGCATTTTCCTGTCAATTTTTTGGGGTTGTGTGGAGTGTGCATTGAAGGTTTTGAGCTGTGTTTCCTGGAGAGATTCCCTATCTGGCGGTGTTCTTATAGAAGAATGGAATGAGATCCCGATGGTGCTCTTAGTCTGCTGGTCCTTTGCACGGACATAAATGTTTGCTGTAAAAGACATCTGTAGTAAAGGCTGTTCATGATTAAATATACTGTATACGCAAATACTGCACACACTCTCTCTAGCACACACGTTTGTACAGAGAGAACCGGAAATGTGTATGTATGGTATCTATATGTATGCGTAACCTTGGTCATATTCAGAATTTACCAGGGTGAAGCGACAACCGAATCCCTATTCTTGCATTCTTAACGAAGTGCACATTGACTTCTCCTCACTCTGCTTCTTGTGTGGTTTCTCGTTGACGCAAGCTGACAAACCAGTCTTTTAAGTGAGAGGGCAAACATGTCAAAATGCAATTTTCAGACAGGAAAAACATGACTGTTTGCAAAAATTGCTACTGTCAATGAGAGAAAGTTCAGCTTTTCAAAAAGTGTTGCTATATGCAGGGGGTAGCCACTCAGAGAGAAATGCTTGTAATCAAGTCAGCTAAAACAGGAAGTCTATAATTTCTTTACAAACAGTTTTAACCTGAGTTAATTACAGATATTATACAGGCCAGTTTGCATGGGAATATGGCTGCCTCACGGCATATCTCTACATATTCACAACTAGCTGATGAGTGCTTTTAAATCATAAGACCAATGTTATGACCAAAGGCAAATGTTCCTACGTGCACTGTTATTTGTAATTCACATCACTGTCCTCATAAACATGAAAAAATTGGTTTATTTATTCCTCATGAGGACATTTTAGCTACATATGCGCGGAAGTGAGTAAGGCCAAACAGGCAGCTGTGGCGTTCCCTGAAACGCCCTTGTCCTTCTTCCATTTGCTTCCTTTCTCTCTCTCCTAGGGTCCCGTTTGATGCTCCACTTTATTTGACCAACAAGAAGCTGAAAGCTTTGGATGTTCTTTGGCATTGAATAAGCCCATTCAACCACTTCCCTGACTTTTAAGCTAATCTCTGAATTTCTGGATCCTTCAAGCAGTCGTTTTTAAGGTTGAGCTTGTGAAATTGTTTATTCATTTATTGGGATTCCTGGCTCCAGCAAAGTTGTTTGAATTTGTATTTTCTTTTTATTGTGAGATGGGAATTAAGAATCTCACTGTACCATTTTGGCTTATTAACATAAAAACAATGAGATCAGAACTCCCTATTACAACAAATTATTTGATTCACACCAGAAAATCATTTTTGTGTGAGGTGGGGTGGTGCAGTGGTTAAGCGTAGTAGGCTTGGAATCAAAAGATCCTGAGTTCAAGTCCTAGCCATGGCTTTTGTGGTGTGTTCTTGGGAAAAACACTTCACTCCCATGATGCTCCACTCCACCCAGGTGCATTAATAGGTACCTGCAAATTGTTTGAGAAACCTGACAAAATGTCGGTGGTGGGGGCTGACTAATGATGGACTAGCATCCCTTCCAAGGAGAGTAGCAGACTCCTAGCTGTTTCATGCTATGGAAACCAGAGTTAAGCACTGTGCTAATGAGCCTCAATTTGCTTTACTTGTTGTACTTACTTGAACAATTGGTTTTTTTAAACAATTTTTTTTGCTTTGAATTCTCGGTCATTGTTCTCCAACTTCATTGCAGTCAGTAGCCACAAGCATTTTTTCATCAGTATTACAATGTCCAGAATTTGTGATCTTGTATAATGCAACTTGGAATGTGAATTCAAAGCTAATTGGTGAACTGTATTCAGCTGTATGTTCTACAGCTGAGCAACATCACCACACAGGCATGTACCTGCATTCCTGACATTCCATGCATGCATATTCTCACGCTTCCGCTTCCTTCAAGAAGGAAATGGTGAAAACAAACTGTTTTTCCCATTGGAACTCATTGTAACCCATTGTAAAGGAATTTCCATTCAGTTGTCATCAAGACTGATTATGGGCCTCACAGCATAGTTGTTAAAGTATCCTGTTTGTTGTTTTTTTGAATGAGATGAGGTCATGTGATGCATTAAGTTAGAAGAATAAGGGGCGTATGTCTTGTCTGGAGCAATGGCTAAAATTGCTCTCGGTTCTGTGTTGACGTTGTATCTTAATTTTGCTAGCACTAGCTTGTTGCAAAAATAAAAAAGTCTACAAAGCATAAAATTCTGTGTTACAGAATGGAGCTAAACACAGCATCAGTTATTTGCCAACATTGGCCTTTGATAAACAACGACCTTTGCTTCAAAAGTTATAGGCCCTTCAAAACAGAGGAGCATAAATAAGCACGCAGTGCTGGAGTATGTTTTCTGTGGACTGGTTCAGTGGCAGTCAGGTACTTGGAGGAGTTGAAAGGTCTGGTTTAAGATCAGTAACTGGGATGGCAAGCCGTATGAACCAAGGAACTCTGGCAAGGTGCACGCCTTCAAACTGCAACGAAGAACAAAACATGGTAGAACCCACTTGCCAGGACCAAAGACTTTGGAAGGACTATTCCCAGTAAATACACTCTCGTTTTTAGAAGAAATTTACCAATTACAAAGGACACTAGACACAAAACAACAATCCAGCAACGGAAGATGAAGACTAGGAACTTAAATATGCAAGATGACAATCCGCAATGCTGGAGAACAGGTGTGAGAGGAAGAGGAATGAAACAAGGACGGAGGGGTGTAGCAATAATTAAATGAAAGGTCATTCATAGAATGACGACTTGCCAAAATTGTGCACAGATCTCTGAAACGGAATGGACAGAATGGAGTTGGTTTCAAGTCTCTAGCTGTTATAGCAGCAAAGTTATGAACCAAAATGTGGTTTTAATGTTTTTGGTGACCTTGACCTTGACCTTTGACCTAGGGACTAAAAAAGTGTAGGCTTCTGCCAACGAACCTCCTCTATCATATGGTGAAGTTTCCTGAGTATAAACTATATACAAAGGGTAAAAAAGCGTGTTACTAACAAACAAATCAATTATGACGTCATTTTTACGTACTTGCGTCAATGTGATGTCATCACGACCTGCCACGTTTCGACCGCACTGATTCAAAGAATAGGATGGCGTTGGTTTCAAAACTCTAGCAATAATACGAATGAAGTTATTGACCAAAATGTGTTTTGGACCTTTTTTGTGACCTTGACCTTTGATCTAGAGACTACAAAAATTATAGGCTTCTGTTGGAGGACCTGTGCTATCATATGCAGAAGTTTATTTAATATCACCAAAAGATAAGGGGTAAAAAAACCATGTTACTAACATGTTACTAACAAACAGACAGACAAACAAACATACAGGCAGACGACTAACGCAACCGACTAACATATTTGCTATGATTTTGAAAAAATGATAATTAACAAAATTAGATCAAATTGCAGGAAAAACTATTAGGGAAACACTCATGATGGAACAGCATTGTGTTACTACTGGTTGTAGCCCCCGAACGAAGTCGGGCGGCTACTATGGATTCATGTGTGTTGTCTCCGCTGCATTCGTGTCAGTAGACACTTCCACACTTCCTTGTGGACACTGTACAGGCTGTAATTTTTGACCGATTACTTTCATATTTGGTGTGGACATGTGTTATACTTCAATTATGACACCTATAGATTTTGGTTTCCATGGTGACAGTATTGGCCGAATAATATGCAAATTCGCGGCAAAACATAGAGATTTCCTTGTGGACGCAATTCAGGCCGCAATTTCTGTCCGATTACTTTCATATTTAGTATGGACATGTTTTATACTTCACATTTGACACCTATCGACTTTGGTTGCCATGGTGACAGTATTAGCTGAATAATGTGCAAATTTGTGCTGAAACATAGACATTTCCTTGTGGATGCAGTACAGGCTGTAATTTTTGACTGATTACTTTAATATTTGGTATGGACATATGTTACACTTCACTTATGAAACCTATCGATTTTGGTTGCCATGCGGACAGTATTGGTCGAATAATGCAAAAAAAGGGGAGAAGCGGGCTTTCGCGGGTACACCCATGCAGTCACGGAGACATCATCAGTTCATGTGGAGACAGCTGTTGCTCACCGGGTCCATCCATAGAGTCCTGTGGGAGCTGTCTAGTGGCTTTAGAAGCTAACTCATGAGCTTTTGAAAACTAGCATCTTTGACTGTGGGGCTTTTTGTCACCAGAGTATGCACATTGGTGGCTTTTCATTTCTGCTGCTCGGGAAACAAATCCTTGGAGTAAAATACTTGGAGTGTAATCCGTGAAAAAAATCGTAGATTTAAAATTTTAGTCTCCCTTCCCTTCTAAAAAATGTTCCCTTTTCCTGTTTCCCATCTCCCTCCCCCTCTCCACTCTCCTGTCTTCTTTCACCCATTCTCTCCGTCTTTCTTCAGGGCTACCCTCAGGCAGTTGGATTCCCCCATTTTTGAGTAGGGTTCTGCCCAAGGTTTCTTCCCAGTGAGTTTTAACTTGCTACTGTCACCTTTTGCTTGCTTCTTGGGGGTTCAAGCCCTGTCGATTTCGTATGCAACAATAGCCATCGGGAGATGGCACATCCCCCAATCCTCGCAAAATTTGAAATTTAGAAAATTTTTAAATTCTTGCACACATCCTAAATAATCCTGTAAAGTTGCATGATAATACATGATAGCTCGGAGTAGACAGGATTGTGAAATAAAGTATGATTGGCTGATGATGGCCATCATGTTTGAGAAATATGCTTATGCTTATAGATATCCGTAGACCCTTGACCGAATCTAGCATGAAAAAGCTTAAGTTGACTGGGAAATTGGTTTGGGAGTTATGGCTGTTTGTTTGCTATAGCATCACCTGGGGACAGCTTTACACCAAATTTGGTAGGATTGAGTTGAATAGCCTGCAGATGAGGTGTCTTAAGTTAGTTAATGATTGGACATTGAATTCAGCAGTTAGAGCTAATGTTAGCAATATTCCCACATAATTCATTGCCTTTTTGTGGCTGTATCTTTTAACTTGGCAGTGTTGCGTATATAGCATGAAAAGACCTTGGTCTTAAGATGTTGAGTACCCAATTTCATGTGAATTACGGTCCCACCAAGTGGGAAGAGATGGAGTTTGTGGGTTTAAAAAAAAAAAAATTGGAACATGACGAACATGTTCGTGTGAAAAGTGTACACGTACGCAAACACAAAAGGGTGTGACTTAAATTAATAGACTTGTGTGAACCAACAAAATTCAGCAATATATATATATGTATATACAACCCCAATTCCGAAATAGTTGGGACGAAGTGTAAATTGTGAATAAAATCAAAATGCAATGATTTTCAGATTACATCAGCCAATATGTTGTTTAGAAATAGAACATAGATAACATTTCAAATGTTGAAACTGAGACATTTTACATTTTTATCCAAAAAATGAGCTCATTTCAAATTTTCTGGCTTAAACAGGTCTCAAAAAAGTTGGGACACGGCAAAAAAGGGCTGAAAAAGCAATTAATATGTAAAAGAATGAGCTGAAAGATCATTTAACAAGTAATTACATTAACTGGCATCAGGTGTGTAACATGATTGGCTATAAAAGGGATGTCTTAGAGAGGCTGAGTCTCTCAGAAGTAAAGATGGCCAGAGGCTCTCCAACCTGTGAAGGCTTGCGTAAAGAAATTGTGGAATACTTTAAAAACAATATTCCTCAATGTCAAATTGCAAAGGCTTTGAAGGTCTCATCATCGACAGTGCATAACATCATCAAAATATTCAGAGAAACTGGAAAAATCTCTGTGCAAAGGGACAAGGCCAAAGACGTTTACTGGATGCCCGTGATCTTCGGGCCCTCAGACGCCACTGCATCACTCACCAGCATGATTCTGTCATTGACATTACTAAATGGGTCCAGGAATACCTCAAGAAACCACTGTCTGTAAACACAGTCCGGCGTGCCATCCACAGATGCCACCTAAAACTCTATCATGCAAAAAGCAAGCCATTGTTGAGCATGACCAAGAAGCGCCGCCGTGTTCTGTGGGCCAAGGCTCATTTAAAATGGACTGTAGCAAAGTGGCAAAGTGTCCTGTGGTCACACGAGTCCAAATTTGACATTCTTGTTGGAAATCATGGGTGTTGTGTCCTCCGGGCTAAAGAGGAGAAAGACCACCCCTCCTGTTATCAGCATTCAGTTCAAAAGCCAGCATCTCTGATGGCATGGGAATGCATTAGTGCATATGGTGTAGGACACTTGCATGTTTTAAATAGCACCATGAATGCTGAAAGGTATATAAAGGTTTTAGAGCAACATATGCTCCCCTACAGACGACATCTATTCCAGGGAAGGCCTTGTGTATTTCAGCAGGATAATACAAAACCACATACTGCAGTTATTACAACAGGATGGCTTCG